GCCTAGGTTTTGACAGAATATCCAACAACAGGTTTTGCAGGTTCCATTGGGTTTCAATATTTTGCGACATGTTTTGAGGGGTGCGCCCAGCTTTAATGGATTTTCTGGATTTGGTTTTGGGATCAAAACCTAGGTTTTGCAGAGCCAAGGCAAAACACACATCATTTGTGAAAGTAGATCTAGAGTGATTTTTGCTCCGGAAATCACAGAAAATTCGCCTAGTGCTGTCAGCTATTGCAAGGGTGCTGTTGTTACTGCGTGTATGCGCCAAAGACGGAAAGCGACAGTCGTGAGTGTCATTGGCAGAAAGCGACCCCCCAAAAGACCAATGCTTCTACGTCACCATGCGGCACCCATGCCATTGCGCTGCCGCGGAGATTGTCAGGGTGTTCGCACTGCTGTCTATATATAACGTAGTAGAGCACGGCATCGGAAAATGTCCTGACGATATCATGTTTTTTGAGAGTGTATTGCAATAGATCATGGAACTTTCGATTCTTACTACAAACGGTCATATTACAGTAATATATTCCTGAACATTATGCTTGTTGCTTGTTGCATCATTTTGCAGTATATTGCATTGTATCGTGTTGGATGTTTTTAGACGGTGACATGTCAGGTTATGTTTAGACATAGTATAGTACATCCTTGAATATTGGTTTCGTGTATCATTATGTATGTATACATGTACACCACAGGTTATTATATCATAACTTGTTATATATATATATATGCACATACATTTCTTGTATATGTATATTTTTTGCGCATTGTCATTTTCAACAAGTTATCATATGTTATGCTATGTTTCACTTTGTTAGATTATGCTATGTCAGAATACGTTACACTAATTCAGGCTGTACTGTACCTTACCATACTCTATCATATTATGCGACATTATGCTATGTTATGTTACGTTATGTTGTATTGTGTTAAGTTGTTATGCTGTGTTGTTATGTTATGTGATGTTATGTTATGCCGTGTGGTGTTGTGCTGTTCTGTTGCATTATGTTGTGTGTTACGGTCTGCTTTGATTGGTTGTGCCATGCTATGTTGCAACATGGTAAGGTGTTGTATGCTGTGTTGTGTTGTCTTGTCATCTCATCTTATGTTGTATTAGTATATGTCATACTGGGTTATGTTACGTTAGACTTTACTCTATTGTATTTGCTATTGCACCAGACTGGTTTTTATCATAGCCTTGCTACATGATGTTATGTTATGTCATGTGTGTTCTGTTCTGATGCTATTGTACGATTTTGTTATGCTATGTTGTACTATACGTAACATTTCGCTCTAGAGTACTATGTTATATTGCATATACTATAGTACATTGTGCTGTGTTATGTTATGTTGGGTTGTGTTGCGTTGTCGTGTTATGCTATGTTATGTTATGTTCTGCTAGTATATGCCATGTTATATTGAAATATCGTCAATAATGTTATATTACACGGTAATATATTGGGCTAGGATTTTTTGCGTTGTAGTACCCTTTATGTCATACTTTGTGTTTTTTTTGCATTGTATTTTACTTTGTTACAGCCTAGTATAGATATTCATGTCAAGCTTTATTACTGTACTGTATGACACTGTAGTGTCAGATACTACATTATGTTAAGAAAGTGCAATCGAGTATCTTATATTCTGTTTAAGTTATGCCATGTTGTAGCAACCACCGCAAATTAAGGAATATGTTAGCACATTGTACTTCATCATCCTGTGTTATAGGGCAGTGAGTTATTTTGGTTTGTTGCACTGTCTTGTTCCATACTGTGTTGCAATCTGTTATATTACACTACAGTCACTACAGTAAATTATGTTAGGTTTTATGTTATGCAAATTGAATTCTATTGGGTTCAGTTCTATTGTATTAAAGTTCGACTTTGTTAACGTCCTCCATATTCGGTTATATTGTAGTTTGTGTGTTTCTGTAATTTGTTTTATGTCGTACTCCGTTACTTTATAGGATGAATTCAGAACAATCTTAGAGCATAGACGTCATGATGGCTGGGCCATGGATGCTCTGAATTCGGAGCGGATTAGACCATGGACATCGTCATGGTCGGGCCGAGGATGTTCTGAACTCAAGGACGGATCGGACCATCGACGTCATCATGGTTGGACCATGGACGCTCTGAACTGAGAACGGATTATACCATGGACGTCATCAGGGCCGGGCCGTGGATGTTCTGAAGTCCGAACATATGCAGACCACGGACGTCATCATGGCTGGGCCACGGATGCTCTGAACTCGAAAAGGAACATGCTATTCTCTCGCAGCGCTTTAAGTGCCCGCAGCCGTGAGGGTAGTGCCTTGCCAAGCACACACAGGCCTCTGATCGAATCTTGACTGTTTCTACACGTTCGGCTGCTGGTGAGCCGGTGCTGTGGTCGGCCAGCCTTTGAGTTCGACTCAAAAGATTTTTTGAGCCTGGTGTAGTTTCCTTTGTGAATTCAGATCTGCTGTAAGATGCAGAGATTTCGACGGAAAGGTATCAATCTGAGACAAAGTGTGAGTTCCTGGAAGCCTGTAAGAGCAACCAGGAAAGGGGCGTAACAACTTTGTAGATCAATCCTGGACCCTTAATTACCGTATATCATGATGTGTGTTCATCCACCACGTGGCTTTACAAGTCAAGACTGATCGGAATATGCTGTGCTGAGGCTCAAGGTGTGTGAAAAGAAGAGACCCTTGGGTTTCCTTCGAGTTTCAATAAGGAAAAGCCAGTTCCAGGAAACCGGAGGGGCTGCAATTGTGGGGCAGGGTGCAACAAGGGAGCATAAGGCATAAGGAAAAGCCAGGTTTTTGGGGGGAAGGGCGGGGGAACATGAGGAGAAGCCAAGTTCGCACAAGGACAAGCTGGGGTCGCACAAGGAAAGCCCGGTTCGCACAAGGGGAAACCGTTATAATAAGAAAAAGCCGGGAGCATACGGGGAGCAACCCGCAGCATAAGAAAAAACCATGCCCGTTTGTTCGCAGCAAGCAAGAGAAAGAGAGAGACGGTGAAAAGCAGAGGGCCTTGGTTGCTTGCGGGGGGTCGTCTCCTCAAGGCTGTGACAGAGAAAGAGAGAGCAAACAAGCAAACAAAACACCTGGACATGCAGAAGCAAAGAAAGAGCGAGGGCCGAAAGGAGGCGAAGCCACGCTTGGGGCTCCAGGTAGGCCACTTGTCGCGCGCCGACATCGCAGACCTCTCTCCACAGGTGCTGGGCGGCTGTGACGGTAGGACGGAGTCTTATCGAGCGATTGCAGGAACAGCTGCAGAAATGGCATGAGATGCTCCTCTCTGCAGAGGCCAAACACTTTCGAGCCCAGACACTTCGAGCTTTCATGCGAGCATGTAGTTGCAGCTGATCTGAAAGGTCGATTTGATTTCTGAACTCGATGCCACGGCCTTGGTTGGGGGACTTGCTTCAGCAGCGTCGACGTTTTGCTTCCCTGGTCGTGGGTTTGGGTGCGAAGACTTGCCCAGAGCCCACTGCTGAATGCTGCGGCTCCCTTTAAGGGAGAATGCAATCCGAGGCTCAGTGCTACGGCCTATCCGAGAGGGTCTGCTGTCAAAGTCATGCGGAAAAACACAATGAATCAAACGGCCGACCACTCCCTAGGAGCCTAGGCTGAGTTCCTACACCAGGGCCCTTCCTTCTGTCATCAACTTTTGCCCGCTCGCAAGTGACAACAGGTCAAGCCCTTGCCTTGTAGTTCTGTGGCTGGCGCGGCTTGCACAGAGCAGTGCGTCGCGCCCGTCTTGATTGACCCTGTATCTGCGATGCAAGAATGTCGGGTTTGCCAGTGCTTCTAGCCTCGAATACGTCATGCCAGAATTGGCGCTGCTATCGCGAATAATTCCTCAAATTCTGCATGTAAGTGCCTTCGCGAAAGAATTGCCAACGAGAGAGGAGCCAAATACATCCTCACTGCGAGGTGCGGCTTAGGAACACGGTGTGTCGCTCGTGAGCACGCGGCTTCCAATTTTACTGTGGGGCCTGGCACAGATCAAGGCTCAAATCTGCATGCGATGCCAGAAACTCCACAATACAGGTTACTTGTAGCAGTCTCGGATACTCTCGGCCTTGCTCAAGAGCGTGAAACTTAGAGAATTTGTGGTTGCATGTTTTTCTCTGCCCGGATGCTGCATTGGACAGAGAATTGCAATGGGCATAGTGACCTTGACCCGCACTGCGCTCGGGGAGTCGAAAGCTGCATCAGAGTTCAGGTGCGGAAAGGCCATGTCTCAAGCAGACACTTTGGCCGGAATCGGAGCGGAGCTGGGCTCCGGTTGGTCTTTGCCGACATGGCCGTTCGTTTTCACATGTCACTGTTTCGCTAAATGGAGTGTAGTTGCAATAAGCTTCGCCAGTGTCAGACGAGTTAGAGAAGGTGCCGCTGCAGCAAAGCGGCTGGGCTCTTTGGGCGTTAAGGAATGGGGTCAGGGGTGAATTATGCAGATAGCCACGCCATCAAGTTCCAGCAGAATGAGAGGAACGACGAGTCATGACGAGAAGTGTTTTGTGTGTGTGTGTGTGTATCACTCGAAATCGATTTTTTCGCGGCCTAGCTCATCTTACCGGGAAAAGAATCGAGTGGGGAAAGACTAGATATTTCATGCTCCGCAAGTGTACAAGCGCAAGGGTTGGTGGTGACTGCGACAGAAGTAGGTTCATGCAGACTTCCAAATCGGTTCGCAAGGACGAACCCTGACCGCAGCGCAGAGAGAGAATAGCTCAAGTCTTTTCAAATCTTCAGCGTCAGAGAGCACATGGCACGGGTTGCTGGCGCACAACACCGGTGGCCGGTGTTTGCTTTATTGAACGGCGCAGCGGTTCAGTTTTGATCGACCATATCGAAAGTTTGGTTGTGTATAGATCTGGAGCCTAGATGTGCCCACATTCCGTGTGTTGCATGGCATCTACTACCCTACGTTAGAACACCAGGATGAGCACGCTTGGTCAAGGCTTCCAACATCTTTTTCATCAGTGCAGAGTCCATCATCTGTGACATGCGCCTTTCCGCAGAGGCTTGGACTCTTTCGGATTGTTTCCCAAGTAGTGAGAGCTCCCAGCCTTCGTCCACAGATGCTTGCAGAGAATAGGATGCTCTTGGACGAGGTCAATGAGGATGGCCAGTTCCTGCGGATGACCTTCATGGTCGAGCAGTTGTTATCTAGTATAAAATCCTGCGGCGGTGTCTACAGGCCCCTCCTTGCGCGAGTGGTCCTGTGCAAAAGGGCTGCCTGGATTGACTTTGAAGCTTTGTCAGGATCATCTTCTTTGATGCTTTCAAGCACGTCTTCAGCATGCAGTTCGAAGACTCGCTGTGGGCATTCAGAGAGGCGGCGGCGCTCTTGCATCCTTTTCATTGCACTTTGCTGCTTCAGCTTGAGTTCTTTGCTGTTCATCGGCAAGAGGTTGACGCTCCTTTGCCGAAGCTTCGTGGTGTAGAAGAGCCTTGTGAGGCTTTCTTGAGCCATTGTCGGAGTCACGGTATTGACCACGAAGTATTCCCACACTGGTGGCATGGCCAGCATCGCCGTAAGTCTTTCGATCTTCAACCCAGATTCCGCCCCATACAGCTCTTCGATGTTTATGCTGTGACCTGGTATAAGGTATTCACCAGAATGGAAGGAGCACGTGTCCACATGGAGGTGCCGTTGTAGCACATGTCAACCTCCATTCCTTTGTGCCTGCCCATAAGACAAGAAGACGTGAGAACTTGCAAGGCCGTCCCTTTTCCTTCTAGCAGACGATGGCCTCGCAGTCGAGGAGGACGAGGAGGCCAGCCTTGTACGTAAAGAAAGCTTCTTTTTTTCGGAGATTTTTGGGCGCAGTGCAAGGAAGACGAGGAAGAAGCCGAGCAGAATGCAAAGCTGAGAGGCTCCTTTCAGGCTCTCATGCTCAGGCCAGGGGCCCCTACGGAAGAGCTCTGAGATGACCGCGCGACTCTTTGCAGGTGCCTGTCCTACAAAGTCCATATCGCTTTGCTGAAGGGGCTGCAGCGACGGGGTAATCGCTGGTGACTCGGTTTTTGCTGGACCCCGTCTCGAAAACTTGTGAATTGAGACTTGGCGGTGTCAGCTCTGCAGGTGTCATGGCATTTACGCTGGAGCCCGACAACTATGACTCTTTCATTGACAAAAATGTTCAGGCAGCTTGTGCCGCTGCCGCCTCTAGAGATTTGCACCGGCAGCTCTGGGCCGGCGCAGGGCGCTCTCCAACCACTCCTCGAAGAGGACGCGGACGAGGACGAGGATGAAGAGCAGGAGAAAGAGAGGGAAGCGGTTCTGCTGCAGAGAAAAAATTGCCGATGACAGGAGTCGTCGGTGCCGGCGCTTGTGGCTTTCAAGAAGCGTGGTGCTGGAAAGGCTCCTCTCTGTCTTGGAGTTCTGGGAAATCTGAATCTTCGTTTTCAGTTTCTCTGTTTGACGGAGAGGTTCAGGACGCTGCTCTACTCCGGTGCTTCCTGGTCTCCAGATTCTGCAAGGACACGCTCGTGTGGGACTCATCGCCTGTCAGAATCGCGACGAGGGCAGGGAGGGAGAGACCGGCATGCCAGCAATCTGCAATGATCAAGGCACTCCAAATGGATCCCGCTTCGAAGCCTCGCAGCAGCGAGACATGTGTCTTTGGGTGTGTGTGCGGCTGCTTCAGCACATGCGAGCTTCTCCGGCTCACGACATTTCCGAAAGCTCGTCATCTTCTGAAGGCCAATGGCTCTTGCCGTCTCACTCTCACTCCCACTCCCACTCTCACTCTCTGTCTCTCGTTCGCTGGGCTGTGTGTGCAACCATGTACTCGCACATACTCGCACAAAGTTTGCATGGCACTTTGTTTGGGGGCTTCAATCCCTTGCCCCCACGGCCCCTCCCTCCCTCCCTCCCTCCCTCCCTCCCTCCCTCCCTCCCTCCCTCTCTTCCCCTTGCTTGCTTGAGGGCAGTGCAGGCATGTACTTTCATCAATGACAACCACTCACATATATGTTCCGTAACATTCGGCTCCAAGTGGTTAACTTGATACCAGCTCTCTCAGCGCGTACAAAACAGGCTTATTGCAGCGCGTGCAAGGGACAAGTCATCAGGTCCTGAACGGACCACACTGTACCTGTACCTGTATCCTTCCATAGGACGGGGGTTTCGGGTCAGTTTTCTGGTAGCAGAGCCCGTGTTGGGCTTGTCCCCCTCGGGAAAGCCGCCACAGCGGTTGGCTCCGGCCGATCGCTTCCCAAGGCGGGCATCGAGGTTGCACTATGGCTTCACACGGTGATGACAGTAGCAGCAATTCCTCCGGAGGCTACTCAGACGACGAAACCTCTCAAGGTCCAACGTCCTATGTCGCAAGCCAGGCAACTGGTCTTGCGAGCGACCAAATGCTCAGCCATCTCGGCATCACGCCGAAAATAGCACCTGCTTACGATGGCACCACTTCGTGGCTTGAGCATGAACAGCTCGTCGATGACTGGTGTGACATCGCAACGTCGGACGAAACCAAGAGAGGATCGTCTCTCAAGACGAGGCTTTCCGGTTTTTCAGCAGTGCAGAAAGAAGCATTAGACCGGGACAGACTTTGCTCTTCCAACAGAGTGGAACACTTCAAGAAGAAGATGCGACCCTTCTTTGTGAAAGGCGACCTCGTCACTTGGATTGCCAAGTTCGATATACTCCTGCAGAGGTTGCGATGGATGGACCTTCTACCGGAGGTAACTTCGGCAGACAACCCACCACAATTCGCAACTGCCAGGATCCGACCTTCGCACGCCTACAAGACCCAACGGAACACGCAGCATATGCAGAACAACAGTTCCGGGAATGGAATCGCCAACGCCCAATCTCCTGTCTCTTTTATTCCTCGTGCCGTCCGATCTGAATGAACACCAAAAAGAAAGGTTAGTATCTACACTAATTAACCAAGGGTACCGAGTAGAAACCTGCACTTACATTGTCAGTTTGCAACGACGAAGACAGGTCTTCAGGACCCAAACATCCGGCACTTTTTTCGCAAGAAGGACCGGCGAGAAAGGAGAGATACACGCCGCAGGCGCGGTGGACGCAACTTTCTCATTCTTGCTGGCTCCAAGACGAGGACACTCTGGAAGAAGGGTTCCTCGCAAACGCCATGAAGCGCTCGTGGCAAGGAGATTCAAGAAAGGAGGGAGACCGAGAATGCGTCCCGGCTCACCGGGAGGAGCAACAGGTGGCAAGCAAAGATCGCAAGGCCGCTTCAGGCCTTGTCGCTCAAAAGGGAGAGCCAACCAGGCAGACGGCCAAGAGCATCCATCCGATTCCAGCTACTACGGTACAGGAAGAGGAAAAGGAAAGGACAAAGGTGGCAAGGGCAAAGGAAAAGGAAAAGGCAAATCAGACAAAGGAAAGTCTTGCAAAGGAGCTATCAAAGGAAAGCAGAAGGATTCAGCCAAGGCTGCATCCTCAACAGGGGGTCAAGCGAACGTTTCCACTGGAACTTATGAATCAAGCCACCGCACCGGTCTGGGATGAATGGCAGGAAGACAGCTACTATGCTGATCAAGGATGGAGCTATGCCATATATGAACAACAGTCGTATTTCATATGCAGCATTTGCATCATGCGAAGATAGAGAGAACAACGAAAGGATCAAAAGGCAGAGGCGCAGATCCGATCCCGCGGAAAAACCCCGTGTCAAACTCTTGCGATAGATACCATTCCTTCACTCCTGTAGCAACAGGACAAAAAGAAGAGCATTTGTGCAGGAATGCGTACTGCCACCGCAGTTCTTCCCATGCAGCATGTGTGCTGTCTGCTCCTACAGAACGGATCAATCTTGACCGAAACCCCACCGCACCTATGTCATTCTTGACTCAGGGTGCACACGTGCTATGGGTTCCCGCTATGCAGTCAACCAACTGATCAAGGCGGTGGAGCGCTACGCGCCCGGCAAGATTGAGTTCACTTCTCTCTATCCAGCACCAAGTTTTCGTTTGCTGATAGTGAGACAGCTCTTATCAAGGAGAAGGTCACTTTGTGGTTCAAAACCACGCCGCCACGTGACACAACGGTTGAAGTTCTTGACCAAGGTCGTGCGCCAATTCTGTTTTCAATTGAGCAGATGCGGAATCTTCGCATGAGCTTCGAGTGCAGTCCCACGGCAGACCAGCCTTGCTATCTGTGAGTCCTTTGGACTCCATAATAAGACGCTTCTCCCCATCAGCACCAATAACCATCTTGGGTGGATCTGCTCAGCTTTACTTCTACCTGGCAGAAGAATTCTCCGTCCAATCGTACTTTTGAAGCCACGGCTCACGCAGCAGGTGATGAAGATCCACTTGAGTGCCCTGCCTGCAAAGGAAGGCATGCAAAGCACACCTACAAGCCTGGCTGCAAAAAGTACGAAGGAGAAAAGCCTTCAACTGAGGGACCTCCTGAACCAGCACCACCAACCGGTGGACCAAAACCTTTAAAAGGAGGTACCTCTGTACCTCTCCCACTAAGAAGAAGACACCGAATGCGAAGCCTTCGTAGAAGCCCAAGATTCGCTCATCATGGAGAGTTGCCGATTCCTGGCAAGTCAGCTAAGTTGATGTTCCTCATTCTTTATGATGGAGCAATCAATCTGGTGACGACTGAAGTTGTTCAGGACAAGAAAGAACCCACGACAATGTCACTCATGACAGAATACTTTGAGGAGTATCAGGTTACTCTAAAGGTAGTCGTGGCAGATCAAGCTTTTGTGACTCCACACGTGGAGGCATATAACAATAGGCGGAATATCAAACTTGTAGCAACAGGACCTGGCCCTCCATGGCCGAACAGAGAGCAGAAGCTGCCGCACGATTGCTGAAACATCAGCTAAAGATTATGCTTCAGACTATCCATGAGGGCTATGAGCTTTGCAATGGAATTGTCATGAAGTACGGTAACCTTGTTCGCAAGAAACTCTTTTACACTTTTACCTCTTCCCGAGGAGTCTATGACATCCGAAGGGTTTGACCATGCAAGCTGTATGGTGATGTTTGATGCAGCGCTGACATCCAGTGGATGAAGTGCTTCTCATCAACATTGTCACTGGCAAGTGACATCTACCGGGAAAATTGATTTTCTTGAGCTCTATACTGGTTCGTCGAGACTCAGTCACAAGGCTGCCCTCTCACGTCTGAGAGTTGCTCAACTTGCAGACTTCCGAAGTGGTTTTGACCTTCAACGACCAAACCTTTTGCAGATCATCGAGGATCATGAACCGACACTCATTGTCATGTCACCAGATCAAGCACAGTGGTCTAACTGGAACTCCCATGCAGCGGCAGTTCACACAAGGGCCTGGCTGTTTTCAGGTTCTGCTAATCGATTGCAGATCATCAAACGAGATCAAGTCGGTGGGTGGGTGGGTGGGTCAGAGAAGGGAAGAGCAGGGCAAAAAGGAAGGGAAGGGAACGGCAAGAAGGAAGGGAAAGGCAGAAAGGCGGGGAAACGCAAAAGGAAGGGAAAGGCAAAAAGAAGGGAGCTGATGAATAAACTTTGCTGTCCAAGGATGGCACTGATGAAGCTCTTCGTTAAGGTCATGCTGATCCAGGACATGGCAGAAGCTTTTTGCTTGGTCGAACAGCGCATTGTGGTTTCTGACCATTTCTGACGACTTCGGCATCGGCATGCATGCGAGACATGTAGTTGTGCAGCATTGTCCCCATCTGTGCGGCACGACGTAGAGACTTCGGCATGGTGCACTGTATTTTTGCATCAACGCCTGGCAGGTGTAATTAGGTCTCGGTCGATCGACGACTCAAAAATCGGGAAGGCAGTTGCGTGCCGCGAGGAGATGATGCTACGCTATGTGCCCTTGGACAAGAGAGCGCAGAGATCTCAATTTGGATATCTGCAGCATTGCTCGTCCTGACGAACGTGCTG